AGATCGCCTTGCGTTTCATACCATACCGCTAAAGCATCGTATTTCACCGCTGGCGGCGTAGCCAATGTTAAAGGGAGAAGGATTAGCACATCGAGGACATCAGAGCAATTTGTCAGTGTATCCGATTTATGCTCTGCCATTCCTTCATCCCTTTTCGGTAGATCGTAGAAGGAAGACGTAAGGGGCAGCATCATGTCGTATTGATGTTTTTAACTTTACTTTTCAGTACAAATTGAGATAGACTATATGATTTTGCGGTTGGATGCTAATCTCTGAAACATAATATTTTTCAAATAATTTGTACAAAGGCTTTTTTGCTAAAATTGTTCCATGAATGAATGTATTTGATGAGCATATCCTCCATTTCTGCACAAAGTGAAGGCTTTTTTCTGTCATCCGAAACTAACTACCTTGATTTTAATTGCATTGCTTTTGTTTCCTAATCCACCAGGGCTTCAATAGTTTGTTCATTTGCCAATTACCCTATATCCGCTCATACTGTAAGGACTATAAATCCTCAATCAATCAATATCAGGAGAGGGTTCGGTTCTTCAAATGCCTTCAAAATCATGTAGCGGAAGGTTGACGTCATTTTAGCTTCATCTCTTGCGAATGTATTTTCAAAAAAGATTCATTCTGCTAGCGTTTAGTATTGTGCCTTGTTCTCAAGGTTTTTGTCTAAATTACTCAATTCCCTCAAATACATTGACCAAAAATTCAATTCTTTGAAATAAGCGAAAGCAGAAATTCAGAAATGCTCCAAATAAAGCATTGCCGCCGCTTGCGTAATGCTAACTGATTCTTGCGTTACGCGAATGCGCTTATTACGTAAGCGGTTGAGGAGGACTCGAGCGTCTGGTGACCAGGCGGCTGCGCATAAATCTTCAAGTCGTGTCGTCGTATGAAGTGCAGCGAAGCCATGTTTATGACTCTTTATGAGGCACGAGGACACTCTCTGTGTGCAGCATTGTTCCGTAGCCGTTTTTCGCCAACAACAGCTACTGGTCAGCGCGACCCGACCCA